ATTGTTATTTTCGTATCTGTAAAATTACATCAGCAAGAACTTTGGGGATCTCCCAAAATCTTTCCAAAAATTGTGAAATTTAGTTGAAATATAGTTGGAAAAAATACTCCTGAGTTATAAGAATGTCAAGCTGCAACTGATAAAACCAAATGATGAGTGCAAAGCACCTAAGGATACAGCTTTTGAATAAAGCAAAGACCATTCTACCATACTGAGAATGATCTATATAAGCAAGAAAAGAAGTGTTTGAAGGTGGCAACTTTTTTAGGATGACAGTCATCATATTATGTTTATTAGTTAATGTTAAGAAGAACTCATGTAGTCCCCTACCATTGCTGTGTTCAATGCGTGTGTGAAGCGTCCTATTGAATGACCGGAAGCTTAGGCTCAGCAGGTACTTGTCATCAGATGAATCTCGAACGAGGAAGGCTCCATCAGGCTGGTCAAAGAGCTTTTCCTCAGCCTCGGCACGTGTGATTGGTCCCCAGTACCATCCGTACTTTGCCAGATGGAAGAGCTCTTCTGCCAGGCTCCTCTTACTAGCATCTAGACTCATGTCCTGAAGGTCCCACAACTCACATCCGCACGTCCGGTTGGGCTGTGGTGATGACGTCTCCGATATGGCACTGTGGTCAGCATTCTTGGCAACACCAAGGCCCCTTCTGGGGACATTGGCACTGGTGTACACACACTCCTCAACCCCCCCAACACCATCCACTGTCACTGTCGGCACTTTATCCCGGCCGTTGGCCCTGGGCACCTGCCCTTCAGTCAACACCTGCTGCTGCTGCTTCTGCACTGATGCATCTGATATGTAACCTTTAGGCTTGCTGTACAGGGACACAGCTGCCGTGATGCCCTGGCCACCCTCTCCCTTGCCCCCCTGTGTGTCCACGTCGCCATTAGCTGCCAACACATGTGATGACGAGTTTTGGCGTGTAATGGGCGTGTTGAGGGGAGTGTTCATAGGCCTGATGGCACGCTTGCTATGCTTGCCCTTGTGTGTGCCCCCACTGCCCCCGCCCCCAGAGGCGTTGAGGCCGTCACTGGAGGACTCCTCGCTCACCGACTGCGAGAACGAGTCCCCGCCGAAACTGTTGGAGAGGCCCTCGACACTCTTGCTCTTCCTGGGGGCGGCGCGCGAGGACGAGGTCGAGCTCGAGCCGCCCTGCTGGAGGGTGTCCAGCTTGTCGCTGATCTTCTTCCTCAACGTCTGCAGGATCCCGCTGGCTCTCGACTTTTTCTTCTTGTCGGCGTCGTGCTGCGAGGAGGAAGAGGCAGAAGAGGAAGAGGTCGAGGAGGTGGCGAGGGTCGTGGCGGCCGAGGACGACCCCAGCACCACCTCGCCGTTGGCACTCCCGCCCCCGCTGCTCCCATGGCGAGGCGACCGGCTCAGCGCGAGGCTCACCTTCTTCATCATCTTCTCTCGAGAAAGCCTTCGGGCGTGGGCTCACCGCAAGACATGGCCGAAGGACGCGGTCACGGGCTGGGGCGCACGTCCTCTCTCATCTGACGCTCCGCAGCTCTGCCATCTTGGGCTCTCGGGCTCCGGGCTCTCGGGCTCTGGGGCTCCGGGCTAGGGGCTCCGAGCCTCTTGTTTACCCAAAGCGCTGATTGGTCGGGCTGCGCGGGCGGCGATTGGCTGGGCGCCCGTGACGTCATGCCCCAATTTTCTTTGATGAGGAGGAAAGTGTGGAAGTTTAGGGGTAACGGAGGTAATTAGATTTCCCGATCGTATTACGTTGAAGTTGTTCTCATATTTGTTAATCTGACTGTATTGATAATCGTATGCGTCATACACACGAGGCTAGATATTTTGATAGAAGAAATTATTTGTATCTTATTAAAAAATCAGTTTCCATTTACTAATGTTAAAGAACATAATAGAAATTACAACAATAGTATACGGTATACACACACACACACACACGCATGCACGCACGCACGCACGCACGCACGCACACAGGCACACACGCACACATACACACATACACACACACACACACACACACACACACACACACACACACACACACACATACACACACACACACACACACACACACACACACACACACACACACACACACACACACACACACACACACACACATACACACGCACACACACACACACACACACACTCACACACACACACACACACACACACACACACACACACACACACACACATACACACGCACACACACACACACACACACACTCACACACACACACACACACACACACACACACACACACACACACATACACACACACACACACACACACACATACACACGCACACACACACACACACACACACACACACACTCACACACACACACACACACACACACACACACACACACACACACACACACACACACACACACACACACACTCACACACACACACATATATACACATATATACATATATGTATGTGTGTGTGTGTAAGTATATATATATATATATGCATATATATATGTATATATATATATGTGTGTGTGTGTGTGTGTGTGTGTGTGTGTGTGTGTGTGTGTGTGTGTGTGTGTGTATGTATGTATACACACACACACACACACACACACACACACACACACACACACACACACACACACACACACACACACACACACACACACACATACACACACACACGCACACAGATATACATATATATATATATATATATATATATATATATATATATATATATATGTATATATATATATATATATATATGTATATATATATATATATATATATATATATATATATATATATATATATATATGTATATATATATATATATACATGTACGATAATATAAAAATGTAGAAACATACAATATGTAGGTGCTGCACTTTCGTGTCATAATTAGATGATTAATGTAATAGTAATAACAAGAGAAAATTAGCGCCGCTGAGACTGGCCAAGTACCGAGGGCCCACCGAGATTTTCATCTATTGTTGAGTAAGTTCTGTAAGAGTCTTCTTGTGGCTTTCCAATAGAACATACACTTGTGGCAGGAATATTGGTCCTGAGTGAGTGTTTGTTATATATATAGAAACTAAAATCGCAAAGATTCTTATAACAGTTAACTGCTTGAAAACCTTGCATCATATAAAAGGATGATTTTACAAATGGATTTAAGATATCTTAATTTAACGAGACAGAAAAATAATATGAATGACATTGCTCAATGTTCGCTAACAGCTAACATCCACAAACCATATAGATTTCAGAAAAGTCTCTGCTGCAAAATTAACTGCAGAGCCTTCGAAAGCAATTTTGTCAACCCCTGGCCCTTCATTCATTACGTCGTTTGCAACCAAGCAATTAATAGATCAGCCAAGACGTTCGTTGCAAAACCCGAGTGATGTAAGGAAACTATAGCTACATGCCATCTGACTTATGAACATGGAATTTTAATTTAAGGAAAAACATTTAATTCTGCAATTTACCGACTAGCCGTAACAGTGACGTCATAGGTTACCGTTGCGTCATCATTTTTTCAGTGACGTCATAGGTTACCGTTGCGTCATCATTTTTTTGCCGAATGACAGCATCGCCAACCTTCCCAACGCTCCCCGGGACGTACATCTTTATCAGAAAGAAATTATTAATTTTGCGAACTTATAAGCCAAGATTTACACCTTTAAAAACTTCTCTTGGGAAATTGATAGTAAATTTTACATATTATCGTAAATTATGGGCAAAAAATAACAATAACACCAAATGTCCGAAGACACTCGCGCGCGGCGGCAAGGTTGGCAGGGAGCAGGGAGGAGCGAGCACCAAAACCATGATTTCTACCCGGCATCTCTTCATCAGGGTTTTTAGCATTGCCAGGCACTCAGGTGAGATTACATAGGTGTCTTTGGATTCACATGTGATTCTAGATTCACTCGATAGTCACCTTGTTGCAAGATTTATTTGTCTCTGGCCAAGATTTGGGATAGAGTAGCCTGCGATTGAAGGCGCCTGTAGCACGGACACTAAGGGTTTTATTTTCTATTTCAGTTCTTGTTAAAGTGCGTTCATTCATGACAAGAAATTATCTGTAATCGGAACATTTTTTCTTTAGAAATCATTACTAATATGGATGACAATTACCTTAAGTAAAGATACTGCAGGTTACATAACAGCGTTTACTTTTTTTTGCATTATATCAGACGATATTTTGGGTAATCGTCATTAAAAATTTTCAGAACGCTGTATTTTTCTATTCTCATTTTCAATCAACCATTGCAAATCAAGTGATTGGCAAGGCCTCTGCACTCTATGCCTTGGCCAGAGTCAACTAACCTCCACCCTGTAAAAGTAGGCAAGATAGAGCTTTAAGATGGAGCTTTCCCTGGCTCTTTACTTGACGGAAGGCTACCAGGGAAGAAGCTCTATTTTGCCAACGTATGGTGCATGTGTTTGAGGTTTGGTGGCAATTACTTGTGTCAATAACCAGGGAGAGCAGAGGCAGATGGATGGGTAGTTTCTAGATGTTTAATATATTTTGTTGTTAGACGTTAATTGTTGCATAAAAGTGGAGAAGGGGAGATCTCTGTAATGCCATGAGCAAGAAGAATACTGAGACATCGTTTCCTTGTTTATAAAAACATAGACATTTTAGTTCTAGACTTTTACAATTTCACATTTTTGTCTAGAACTGTTCATTAATTGTTTCAGTCTCACTACTTCATCAACAATTTGTTTGTGTGTTTTCTGACATGTCAATCAGCTGGAGATGAATCATTGTTTTGACATTCAGTTGTGGACAGAAATCACCCATCCATTGGTTGGCTCTGTCTCTCAAAGGCTCCCTTACTGCACAGTGTGGTAAGGAAAGGAGGGAAGTCGTTAGGAGGGGAGTAACATTTGTGAACTGTTGGACATATAGTTAGTTTTTTTTTATCTGTGCTGGAAATATATGTGTGTGTGTGTGTGTGTGTGTGTGTGTGTGTGTGTGTGTGTGTGTGTGTGTGTGTGTGTGTGTGTGTGTGTGTGTGTGTGTGTGTGCGTGTGTGTGTGTGTGTGTGTGTGTGTGTGTGTGTGTGTGTGTGTGTGTGTGTGTTTTCTTTTCCAAGTATAAATATTATTATTATTGGTTTTGATGATATCATGACCATCTTCATCATCTATAATTGTTATTATTATTTATTATTAGGTTCATTGTTTATTATTATTGTTATTATTATTAGTTTTATTACTGTCATTATCATCATCATTAGATGATTTATTGTTATTATTAATATCATTATTAACATTAGTAAAGTATTAAGAATAGGCACTTTTTTCCATAACCATTCAGGGAATGGGTTAAATAGGAGAGGTCTTGTTACCTTAGTAACTAATAACATTCCAGGTAATTGTGCACTTGTTAAGGTATCTCTATTTAGAATAAAATGAATTAACAAAAGCCCAGTGGACAATGTTGCCAAGCATCAATAGGCTAGCATACTATGTTCATCTTTTGAGTAGAATTGGCATATTTTCATTTCCGATTAATGGTTAACTTGTGTGTAAGGGGATGTGTGTTCATGTCAAGAGTTCCAGAAGCGTTAACAAATATCATTTTATGGAAGTTTCCTTGTGATAACAAAATTTGATTGGAAAATGAACTCTGGGACAATTATTGTATTTGAATGGTTGCAAAAGAAAAAACACTTCAAACTTATTGGAATTCTTCTTCTTCTTCTTCATCCTCTTTCTGCTTTTCTTCTTCTTCTTCTTCATCTTCTTCGTCTTTCTTTCTCTTTTTTATTTATTTATTATTTTTTTTTTTTCTTTTCCACTTTTTGTTCTTTTTTCTTATTTTCATTTTGTTCTTTTTGTTTTGCCTTTTACTCTTCCTTCTTGTTCTTCGTTTGTTTTCGTTTTCTTTTCATATTTTGTATATTTCTTCTCCTTTTACCCTGCATATTCTTGTATAAAATGTGTATCTATCACTTTGTGATGAAAAAGAGTGACCAAAAATTAATTGCCTGATTTTAAGATATGACTATGATAATCAAGAGGAATCAGTATCAGACTTTAATTATGCTTCAAGAGAATATGGAGGATCATGACACTGAAGACTACTTTCCCACTTGTTTGCAGACTGAAAACGAGATTGTCAAGGAGCTGGTCCAGATACTGCAAGCAAAAAAAAGGGAAAGTTTGCACTTGAAGGAGAGCTCAACAAGAGCCAAATAGATGTACAAGCATATTGCTGCTTGGTTGAAATACATTTAAGATCATGGACTCAAGCACAGAAGTTGGAGGCGTACACCCAGACAGAAAAATGGAGGCTGAAGTAGCAGAAGCAAGTATTGAGCAAAAGGCTTCATCAGATGTTCCTGCATCTCAAAGAGAGGACCTTGGTGCCGTTCTGTGGCGGAGGGTAAAGGCAAAAGAATACGAGGCAGCCATATGTGAGATCAAGGAAGAGAGGCACCGGAAATACCTCAATCAGAATAGCCTGGACCTTGTGCCCATTCTCCTGAAACTGCTTGGTGAAGAAGACCTTGATCCTGAGGGAGAGCAGTGCATAGAAGACCTGCTCGTCTATGTGGCTTCAGTTGCTAATGTCAAAGAAGCCACCATTGCATTTTTGGAAGAACTGGAGATGGGGTATTCAGAAAAGATGTTTCGTGTTATTTTGCATCCAATCAGAACTCTTCTCATGGGTCAGATATCACAGAATACTCGTCCAACCATGTTTTCTTGGATATTTAATACTCTTTATACTAGGGTAGTTATGTTAGAACTTCCATCAGGTTGTAATCTGGAGGGAGAAGAAAGAAAGCTCCTAGATGCTGATCCAAGGGTGCAGGAAGTGACTGGTGCTCTTCGTTGGCTCACCGACTTTTATTTCCATTTTTTTGAAAAAGTCATGTCTGGAGACTTGGTCTGGGGTGGCAAGGTGGTAAATTCAAAAGAGTACTTGTCATTTTTCCTCTTGCAGCTATTCCATAAACCCATTGCATATCTTGATGTATTCTGCAAGGAAGGAGACACAGAGAGCTCCCTGTATCGTACATGTAATGATCTAGCTGTGATGATAGCACGGCTTACAGGTAACTCTTTCAAGTTGTTTACTCATGTGGCTTGGAATTGCTCAAAAACTCTAATGGCCACTGAAAGTGAGGCCTTAAAAGAAGAGGATGAGAAGCCAGAGGAAGAGAATAGAACTGATGATGAAAAAGGAAAAGATGAAGAAAAGGAGAATGAGGTTTCTCAGCTGTCCCTGGCCTCTTTCTTTTATTGCATACTTGGGCAACATATGGCCAAGGATTATGTGCCTTGTGTGTACTCCCATCAGCATGTATTTATTAACTGCCTTCCTCTTATTGTTCAGCTGATGCAGGAGAAGGAAGACTTTCCCATCCACAAAGGTCTGATCCTTGCCAAGACCCTTTTAAGTAACATTACAGAGAAGTCATTACCCAGTGAGACGTTAGAAGCTAAAGCCCATTCATCATTTCCACAGCTTCTCCTTAGAATAATGATAACCTGTAATAACAAGGAAATTCGTCTATGTGCACTTGAGATATTCCGCCCTTACCTTAAGAAATTTGATAGCACAGGTGGCTCCAAACTGATCATGTCATTACTTCGCTCAGTAAAGCATGCAGGGGCACTAGGCCTAGTGATCCATGAACTCAAAGAAAATATATCCCAGAATTTAAATCAAGGTATGGAAAACTCAAGCTTTGCAGGACACACTCTAATTCAACTCTTAAATCTAGCCTGTTACCTTCCTGATGGTGAGAGAACTGACCTGCTCGAGTGGAGCGACAGTATTATGCAGGCTCTGAACCTGCTTGTCTTTTTGCTTTTACGGGACACACAAAATGTGACAGGCATTAGGGAAGCTCTCCCTAAGCTTGAGAAAAGTTTTTGACTCCCATTCAGACAGGACTGGATCTCTCAAGAGGTCACTATGAGCTGAAGCTGAAGGACCTGGAAAACCCAAGTAGCAAAAAAGATATGGAAACAGAAGTTACAGTGGGTGGCTTAACCCTGCCAAGTATGCCCGTGGAGCAGGAAAGAAAGGTTGTGCAGACTGCCTTGTGCTCATTTGATATGATGCAGTGCACCCTGGCAAGGGTTCATCAAGCAGCAGAAAGGAAACTCTGATCCATTCATGAGACAAGGTGTTATCATCCCATCCTTGTTTAAGTTCACAAAAAAATATTAAGAAATTCAAACGAGAATTAGGCATCATTTTTTTGTACTCACTCATTATTTAATCCAAGAACTGTGCAGTAAATGACAGAATGTTGATTTCCTGTAAACAACCGGTGTTTATCTAAAGAAGGTATACATTTGTGGGAATCTTTATGTATGACTACTAGGAATACTGCAATATACTTACTGAATTAATGCAGTTATTGTTTTGTGAAAGCATTATAGTTCATCTTTAATAGGCTAATGCATTTGTCATTTTTTGCATATTTGTATGTATTCTTGAGCAAATTCTATGAGTAAAACAGTTAAAGTAAACCGCTTCAATATGTTGCTAAGTATATATGCACTTATAACAAAGTCAATATGGAATGTGTTGTAAGTAAATTTGTGATGGACGCTACCATGGTATTGAATGGTTGTTAGTTGCAGAATACTAGAATAATGTGTTTGGGTTAGGTAACATAATTGAGTATGACTGCCATCATCATTAACTAATAAATGCATCAGTTTCTAACAAGGTTAATTTATTTTCATGTGAGCCATTGCAATTCATGTTGCTTTGCCCTTAATTTATTCATATTTTATACAAATAATTCCAAATAAAGGTATGATGAAATCTATCTGTTTTATTTAAGATTTTGCCAGTCCTTTTTTTTCTTACATAAAACTGACATGATCAAAGAAAACATATTATTAGTTAACAGATATGTTACAGCATCAACAAAAGTAAGTAGGGATAAACTTTTATCTGTATTTCTATTTTTTTTCTCTCTTTTCCTTTGTCTCTCTTTCTCTTCATCTTTTTGCCAAGGCTGAAAACTTAATTATGGTTACTTATTATAAATTACCTAACAAAGAATTCAGAATATTCAAATTCTTGTATATTTAGGTAGCATTATATTTAGATGATTTTGAGACAGATATGTAAGGGTATTGTAGAGTACCTGATAGTAGATTTCTTCAGAGATTTTTTTTTATATAGCAATTGATTATATTACATACATTATACATCCCTTTTATTTTAATCAGAAGTACTAATATGTCTATTGTACATGTAATCAGAATGGTATGTCAGATAGGACTCTTGCTCTGTGAACCTTTTCATTCTTAACCTTTTTCTACTTGTTGCAATGAACTCTGTTTAAGGGACAAGTTGTAATTGTAATCTTTTAAAATATGGTAACCCTCACCTACTAAAGTATTATTGCTTAGAAAACGTACTTCAGCTGTCAATGCTTTTCAGGGTATAGCAGAGGGCTGAGTACATCAGCCTCAAGATGGAGGAAAGAGGAGACAGCACAGAGTGAAGGGACAAGCACAGGCCAAGAAGATGCTTTTGAGTCAGAGAGCTCTTCTGAGGAAGATTATGATGCAGGGGAAGACCAACTTCGTGCAGAGATCCTGAATGCTGCTATGCCTTTTATATACTCCCATGGGTGGTCCCAGGAAGCCATTGCTCAGGGTAAGATGCATGTATGCTGTCAGACCTCTTTTTTCTGGTATCTTGCTTTCCTTGCCTATCAACTTTTTTTGTAGATGAGAAATGCATCTACATTACTAGAAGTAATTCCCTTTTATTTAGTTTTTGTAATCAAAAAGTTAAAGATTATCATGGTAAATCATAACATAAACAGTATTTCCAAGAAACTTATTTTTGTCTACCTTTCACCCCCAAAGGCGCTGAGACACTTGGCTATTCTGGTATGGCACATGGGATGTTCCCCAAAGGGGGTGTGGAGCTTGTCAATCACTTCTATGCCACATGCAACAACAAACTAGAAGAAAACCTGGCAGCCAAGGCAAAGGAGATCGAAATAATCCAGAACTGTAAGTTCTATCCTTTTCCTCTTACTTTTGATAATGCAGATTTCTAGATTTCTTCCTCTTCACCATACCATGGGTTCTCAATCTGTTCTCAATGTGAAGCACCAAGCTCATATGCCAGGTGTTGTTAGGTCTGCTATACATTGTTTATGCTTAAAGTTGTTCACTTATTTGATCCTCTCAAACAATTTAAGATCATTTCAAAGTTTTATTGTAAACTAATACATCTCAAAACATAATAAAAGCATTTGTTTAATTTCTTAAACAAATAAATGTGCTAGATATCAAAGGTTATATAGCACTATGGTAAAATATTGTGGTGGAATGGGTTTAAAGTTCTTTATTAGAACAAAAGGTCTTAGATTTCAATGGTCATATGGCATATAAGAGGGGGAGTAGGATAGGGATTGATAGAAAGAGAAGGGTTAGGGACAAAGGATGCTTAGATCAAATGGAGGGTATTTATGCATCTGAGGAAGGAGAACATACTGTAAGGAAAGGCAAGGGTATAGGCTTCAGTAAAGCAAGGGTAGGATAGTATTTAATAATTTTGTTTCTAAATGTAAATGAAACTGAAAAATATATGAAGCAACAAGTCTCTTCCATCTAGTGTCCCTTCTGTGCTTCATTGTGATTCTCTTGATTGTTGAAAAGGAAAAACTTGAGAAATGTGCTTGGGGCATCTTTGTTCCTCTTCATCTCCTAATGAGTACCCATATTAGTTATTTAACAACAGGAAAAAGGGTCCACCACTTTTAAAGCTGAATCATTTATCAACAGGAAAAAAGGGACCACAGCTTTTATAGCTGAATCTGTGGAGGAAAGGCTGCGCATGAATATTGAGTACCTTGACACATGGCACCAGGCACTTGCTCTCCATGCCTCACCTACGAACATGCCAGAAGCATTAGATAATCTTGGGCGGCTTGTTGACCACATATGGTACTATGCAGGAGACAGATCTCATGATGTAAGTTTTACAGGATTTGTGTAACTGCATTTACATGGTGCTAGAAATTTCAGATAGTTTTATAGAATATGAAAATGTTGATGTAAGTTTTATGTCTAATTTTTTGGCTTTTCATGTCCCTTTGCAGTTGGTTCTCTATTGTTTTTGCCCTATATCTCTTGTTTCCTTGAGTTTTCATTTCTTTAAGATTGTATTTGACTTTTCAGTTCAACTGGTATACCAAAAGAGGGATCTTAGCTGCAGTTTACAAAAGCACAGAATTGTACATGCTACAGGATAAGTCTGAAGATTTTGAGGTAAAACTTTGTACTTTTTTCTTCCTTCCTTTCTCTTTTTTTCAAGAGTGGGGATATTCCAGTATTATATTTTTATAAAGGTTGTCTTGTTCTTGTTCTTTCATAGCCTTCTTTATTTTAATGTTATTGTTTTTTTATAACAGTTTCCTTTTTGAAATAAGAGGACTTGATCTTCACCTTCATCTCCATATATAGATTAACTCAAAGCCACTGGGCAAGGCATGTATGTACATGGCATGCCCACTGAGTTTATTTTATTAATTGTTTTTATACATAGATGGCTACACTTGTACTAAGTCACCAGTGAGCCAATTATGAGCACAGCATTTTACCTGGCAGCATGTGGTTAAGTTTACACATAATAAAGAATTTGTTTATAAGTCAGTCATTTATCTGATTAGAGGATAATGTATCACATGCCCTACTTGTAGAATTGCTTATATTATTTATTGAATTCCTACCATTGTTTGTCTTCTTTTGATATTACTGCATTCCAACAGGATACCTGGGCTTTTATGAACAGACGACTCTCAGATGTCCACAGCGTAGCAAAGTGTGCAAGAAATGCAGATAACGTAACCAAGGATATTAGGAATGTTGTGAAGGCCGGACTGTTAACGGTAACTGTGTGAATATAATCTTTGTCTTGGTTGTAATGCAAGATCATATAAGCCATATTCCTTTTTATCTTTCTTAGAACATTACTTTTTGGTCATAAGAATATCCTTAATATCATATATTATTATAATGTTATGGTGTGTTCATTTACTATAAATGCTATATGCAATAAGTATTCACTGACAATTTAAGGTGCATCAGTAAATCTTTTTTTCTTTTTCTTTTTTTAGGCCCTAAATATAGTGGGAATGAATGGCAGATCCCGCTAAACAGAATTCATCATTATTTTGTTATTAGTGTACATTTGATGTAAATAAAAATAAACTCTTTTAGGTTTTTTTCTTCTTCCAAATAATGTAATGTATTTAAGGCCAAACTTTTCATTATTTAAAGATAAACTTTAACAATAATGGAAAAGGCTACAATTTGATAAAATGCAAAATTAAATTAGAATAAAGATTTATAAATTGTAATTGCATGCTGTGGTAATATAAACATTTATATTCATTATTTTCTGTCTCCTGTCTGGTGTCAAGATTCTGTAGCAACTATGCCAAAAGCGTAATTGGTACTTCCCAACTGAGCTGAGTCATCGTTGTTAAAAAATAAACACAACCACC